AGTTAATTTATTCAAATCAGGACACAGGGAAGATCTATACATTGCATCTAAATGATATACTTCTTAAATTTGTCTTTATCTTTAAATTCTTTCTCTCCCACCTTCTGTTTTTTTCCTATGATGTTTTTGTTGAAGAAACTGGGTTATTAGTCATCGAGAATTTCCCATGGGAAGTGTCAAAGAGGGGTTGCTAATTTCTTCTCCCTGGAATCCTTTACCAGGTTCCTCTGTACTTTTTTTTCCCCCCGCAAATTGGTGGTTAGATTTAGATTCTAGAGGTTTAATCAGATTTGGGGGTGATTGTTGGTGAGAATACTTCAGAGGTGGTGACCTTTCCCTTGTCTTGAATCAGAGCTGCAGCGGCGGCTCTCCTTATCTTTCTGAGACTGTTGGATAGATCCATGGGTCCGCAGATTGTCAGCCTGACCCAGCACTCTGAAGGTCCCTGCCAGTGGTTCACCTGATGGTTTTAGCAGCCTTGGTGCCAGCCTAGCTCCATTAATTTATTAAATTTTGCCAAATGGTAGTATTATAATTCTATTATCCCTTCTTCGTTTATCAGCTTCAAATCTTTGTATAAAGAAAAATTATTTGCTTGCTCTGAGGTACAATTCGGACAGAAAAGAGAATAAATGCTTGGTCCCCTCCCTTTATTTAGCAGCTTTCAAAAGAGTGAATTGGTTCCCAGCAGCCTCTAAAGGTAACCAGTGAGTTTGTTATTCTTTTCTGGTTCCATTTTGAGTTCTTCAATGCCCAGCCCCAAAATTACTTCCCCCAGTTTGTTGGGTTTCTTGTTCGTGTGTTTTACCCTGACTCAGACGGAATTTCTCCTTCTTGCTGAATTTAAGCGCATCATTTCTAGTGGTATCCAGAACTTTCTCTATCTTCAGCTGGATCAGAAGCTCCCTGAAGTGATGCTAATACTGCTGGTCGAAGGACCACACTTTGGGTGGCAAAAGGGTGTGGTAAATGTATGGGAAATCCCTTTCATTCACTCAGTGAGAAGTGCCAGCTCTGGGCCACTTCATGGGCCAGGCTCTGCTACCTTAAAATGCAGGGGGATTTGGTGTATTTATTTGTTTTATTTTGCATTTTGGTTTTTTAAATTATTCCTTTGAATATGTAATAGTGTTCTTGGCAAAAAAAAAAAAATTTTTTTTTAGTAAAGTCCAAAAGGGCATACAGTAAAATTACATCAGTCCCCAGAGGTGACCACTGTTACTTCTCAAGTTTTCTTCTAGAAACACTTCATGTATACAAGAGCACATATTTGTAGCATCTCTCGCTCGCTCTCTCTCTTTTTTTAACGTATTGTTCACACTGCTCTATCACTTTCTTTTTTCATTTTACTTTATCTTAGAGACTGTTCCATATTTCACCATGTATCTCTACATCTTATTTAATGAGTGTCATAGAGTCCACTGCGTTTGTTGCTTTTACGAAGTATACAGTGAGGGGAGACTTCTTGGCTTCTTCCTCATCCTGCACGTTCCCCAGAGAGAACAGGTGTCTTGTCTCCTGTCCTTTGAAACCTCTGAATTATCTGGCCCGTGCTGGTGCATTTTTGTCAGCTTCATTTGATCTGGAGTACGTCTGCCAGTCGTTACACAAGCACGTCTACACTTTTTTTTCCCTTTAGATTCCAGTCTTCCTAGACTCCAGTTGTTTCTTGACTCTGTATTCCCTCAGCACTCACAAATCATTCAGAGACATTTTCTTGTTTTAATAACGTATCATTGTGGAATAGTGCATACATAAGTGTGTATAAAATGAATATATTGGAGGGGTTCAGGACGCACTATGGCAGGCACTGCAACTACCCCAGAATACAGAACCTTAGCACCACATTTCAACTTGAAGGAATTTGAGAAAATAGGTGCAAGGAGGACTCCCTGCCCTTCCCTTGAAGGAGGTCATAAGGCCCTCATGTGAGAAGTGCCCCCCTGTACCCAGAGGAAAGGATAATCCTTGTCCCCAAGATGGAGGGACCCCCAAGAGGAATCTGAGTGAACATGCCTTTCTGAGTTTCCGAGGTTCCCACACCGACCTCATACCCCTTTGTCCTATCACATTTTCCCATGACTTCCCACTCTTCATCAAACTGAGCGTGAAAACATACAGGTTTAGCTGCTTATTAAGGTCTCCTTTGACTTGTGAAGGCTCCCATGTCACATAAAACTTATGCTAAATAAATTCGTATGCTTTTCTTTTGTTAATCTGTCTTTTGTTACATTATGCCTCTCTTTAAAACAGGATGTAGAGATATACGTTGAAATATGGAACAATCTCTAACCTAGAAGGATGGAAGGCAAAGATATTTTTCCCTCCCCTTCAATATATATAAGGAAAAAATAAAAACATTAATAATAGAAGGCTTCTGTCGCTTCCCTCCTCCTCCAATGTGCTCCTTTCCTATACATGATATTCTCTCCACCTACAAGATGACTACCATCCTGAATTTTGTATTAATCATTCTCTGGCTTTCCTTTCTCAGTGGTTCTCAAGCCATTAGAAGCCACCTAGAGAGCTTGTTTAAACATGGACTGCTGGGCCCCACCCCCAGTTTCTGATTTAGTAGATCTGGGGTGGCACCCAAGAATTTGTGCTTCTTGTAAATTCCTACATGATACAAATGCTGCTGATCCCAGGGCTACACTTTGAGAACTGCTTTATTTCAGAGATACTCTTGACGTCTGTGTCATGACTCGTAGCCTCCCCTAAAACCTAGCCACTCAGTAAATGTAGCTAAAGGACTTCCTCCTTCGTCCTCGACTCCATTTCCTGTCACCCAGTTTATGAGCATTCAGTCCTTGTTAAATATTTTAATTGATTGTAGCATTTGACTAGTTTCCATCTTTTTTCTTTTCTGTTGATGATCCCACTCACAGGTTGCTGCTTATTGGTGTGTGTTGTGTGTCTGTCATTGCCAGTTAACCAGAAGGACAGGTATAAGCAACATTTACATGTCTTATTCATCTAGACTTTAAGCTCTCTGAAAGCAGGAACCAAGTGAAGGGGTTCAGAACGTGTCACCCCAAAATATTCTGCTTTGACATATTGAGTATTTTGAGCTGAAGACACTTATGAAACAGCAGATACAAAGGGGCCTCTGACCTCCCCCTTTCGACCTGAAAGCAGGTTGTAAATTTTTCCTTGAGAAGGATGCCCTCCTGGTACCACGAAGAGAACATTCTTATCTTCAGAGACTGGGAGTCGACTCCAGTCCATACAAACAAACCTACCAAAATAACCCTTATCTTCCATCAGTTTTCCTCACATACTTCCTAGTCACTGTCCCACCAGGTATGACCCCTAGTTCAAGCCCCTTTGCTTTGTCACATCCCCACAACTATTGTTCTTTCTGGAAAAATCTGTATACTATAAGCTTTTGGACCTAACTGCTTCTTCAGGGCTTCATTTTCTTTTCTTCTTCTTCTTTTTTTTTTTTAATGTTGCAAAGAAAACTGATGAGTTTCCTAAAAGAAAAGATTAATTCAGCAAAATGCAATTTATGTATCTGTATTTTTATGCTGCCTTCCTTTAAAACAAGCTCTCTTAGGACATAGACTTCAGTCAGTGTTCATCTGGAAATCTCACCACGTTGCTTTTGGCGACAGCAAAATGCCACCCGGGAAATCCCAGCAAGAAGGAGGACTCATTCTTCCTGGTCACCTCTCATCAAGGCCCAGTCTTGGCTCTAACCCTCCCTTCCCTCTCCACTCCCTCCCATCCTAAGCCTCAGGAGGAAATAAAAAGCATCATTATCTCAGGAAAAAGTTGGGGGATCTCTATATGGCTGACAAGCTGGGTTATGGCAACAACCTAGAATAGCTTTAAATGTACATTCTTCAGCAAGCCTTCATTTTCCTTCTGAAGACTCCTGTGTATACTTTAAAAAAAAACTGTATGCTTTTCTCCTGTTAATCTGTCTCATGTCAGTTTAATTGTTAGTCCAGCCACATGTTTAATTTCCCTTCGTAGTCTACTTCCTCAGCAAGCTACAGGCCACAGTTTGCAAATTCAGTTGCTCATAAGGACCAAAAAAGCAAGGTCAATAAGTGAAACTTGTCAGGTGGAACGTTACCGATCTGGAGACCATGTTCTGTGTAAAAAGGGCAGCTTTAAGCCAGTTGCAGGTCCACTATTCTCCCATTTTCCTGGTTTTCAAGAGAAACCAGAAATAATCCCAACTTATTCAACATTGTAAGTATAAGAGCAGGCCCAGGGGGTACAGATATTCCACACGGAGTTCATCGGCAGGAATTGAAATGAACCATTCCGTGTTTCAAGACCTTTGCAGTGAACGGATGGATGGATGGATGGATGGATGGGTGGAATGGTGAGTGAGTAAGTAAATAATGAATCTGGGTCTTTGCAGTGGGAGTGGAGAAAAGAAGCAATTGTTGGGTACCTACTGTATACCCAGCCCTGTGCAAAGAACTTGACATACTTATCTCAATTGTCCTTTATAACAACACCTCGGGGTAGTTATTATCATTCTTGTTTATTTCCATGCTCATTTCACAGATGAAGAAAGGAGGTTTAGAAAGGCCCAGGGTCACACCACTAGTTTCCTTTATTTATAACCTACCTAATTCAATAAAAACACGAAACGATCTTAGATGGGCTCTAATGATTTAAGTTGGGTCCTGAGGCTTGGATTACAGATAGCTCTGTTATACTGAGCTGCCACCACCAGAGGAATCAGGTTCTCAGAAGGCAGGTCGGGGAGGGAGGTTTCCAGCTGTTTGGGTCTGATTCCTTGGGGGGCTTAACCAAGCAGCCCCAGCTTCGTGCTCCTCAAGGAGGGCAGCCAGTACCGAGGAGCTAAGACACAAGGGGTCTTTTGCCACCTTGCTACGTCCTCCCCACTTCCTCCTGTCTCACTGCTTACTACCCCCTCAGAAGTCAAGGTTTCCACCTGCCAGCCTTAGGGTCCACTCCATCGTAATTCCCTTCTGAGCCCAGTCAGATAAGAACAGAGACGCAGATACAGGAGCTGTTTGTTTGGAAAATATTTTATTGTTATTGAGCCAGCGAAGAGTGATTATAGGATGGTGATCAGATCCCACACTAGTGCCCTCTTTCACTGGGTATCGACAGCGCTGGGTCTTGAAGGGGATGGTCACTGGGCATCAGGAGTGGCACTTCTCATTCCTTTCAGCTGGAGGAGAGGGGGTACGGTCAGATTGGAGACCCTCGGGTGTGGGGAGCTGAAGTTCCAAGGAAGCCCAGGAGAGGGCGGGGCAGTGATGAAAAGGAATCTCCGCCCCATCTAAGTTGCTGAATATAGTAGCTAAGCTTTCCCTTGTTTCCCTTGGGTTTGATCAGAAGAAAGCTACACCCCGCCCCGCCCCTTTCCCTTTCCCCACTCTCCCTCCCGGATCCTCTGCTTTGCCCTCACCGCCAACCTCCCTACTCTCCTGATGCCCACCACCTCTTACCTTTGGAAAGGCATCCCAGTTGAGGAAAGGAAGTTTCCTTTTGATGGACTGAAACAGAAAAAGAGAACAAGAGTGGTTCTCTCTTACGGGTCAGGTGAGCACGGACCAGTAAGCGCTTGCGGAACGAGCTCTCTGTAGTGGCGACGCTGTTACTGTTTTATAATTACAGTAAGAACTAACGTTTCCTGAGCCCTTATTCCGTGCTCGCCTTAGACTAATTGCTTTCTAGGCGTCATTTCATTCGGTCTTCACAGCAACCTTTTGACATCGGTACTGTCATCATCCCCATATCACAGATGAGGAAACTGAGGCTCAGAGACCTGAAGACATTTGCACGAGGGCATATAGCAAATACATGCAGGGTCATGCACTGTGGCTCGAATTCCAGCGCTGCCGCTGACTTCGCCTTCTATGTTGGGGTAAGCCACCCCACTTAGGACCTCAATTTCTTTCTAGCGGATGAGAGGATTTGCATAAACTTGACCAATTAAGTTCTTCCTTTTCAGGGATTGTCTTTGCGGGCCTGCTGCCCCTCTGCCACGTTAGGAAAATAAGATGCGGCCATGACAGCCCCCCGGGGAAGCTTCCCACAGCTGGGCAGCATCCACGCAGGGCAGTCACTCCCTCCGAGAACTCAGGAGAGAACCGAAAGGGCTAAGCTAGAGTGTGTTACCACCACCCGGGAAAGACGGGCAAACCGTCAAGGAAGGAGAGGGCAGCCAAGCACTCACCTCAAAGAGGGCGTGCCAGTTCAGGAACTCTTCGGGCTTGAAAGCCTGTGCAGAGAGACAGCAGAGGAGCGTCAGCTCCGGGGAAGGGCAGGGCTTGGCCCCGGCCTCTGGGAAAGAGGAGGCATCACTGCAAGCTCTCTACCCAGGCCTTAGCGGCCTCTAGGATGAGGATGCTCGTGGGGCCGTACTAGAGAATTGCACTTACGGCTCGTAACTTGTCGATGTTCAGGAACTGGGTATTAACGGCCTAGGCAAAGGAGCGGAGTGTTAAGCAAGTTACTAAGCAGCATGAAGAGATAGGGGACAAACTCCTAGTCAGATGGTGGGAAGAAAGGGGGTTTACCTCAGGTCCCGATGCGTAATTACCAATGGTGGATTCTTCCTGGAAAGTGAAGGGGAGAAAGGGGCCAGATGATCACATGATGGCAAGTCCCTCACCCCAAACCCTCTCTGCCAGCTCCGCCTCCCTCCACAGGCCAGCTCTGTTCTCCACCATGGGGCCTGTCCCGGGAAGGCAGCTGGTGGGCAGATGTGTGGACCACGAGAAGGGATAGGAGGGTGGCACGTGTGACACAGGGAAGTCAAACCCGGGCCGGCCATGGTAGGCAGGGGGAAGAAGGCATGGGGAGAAAGGACTCCTCCCATGAAAAACGAGCTGGTGTTATTCTGCCATTGACTTGGGGTGTTTCTGAGACACCCACACTCGGCCCGTGGAGCTGGGTCAGGGAGATTAACATGCAGGTGGGAGCCACGCTGCCTTTAATTGATGGAGATTGGTTTGCTTTGTGACTTTATTGCCACCAGCATCCGAGTGTCCATTTCCCTCCTTCGTCTGGTAAGCCCCCAGGCCTCAGCGCGCCCCATCCTGTCCCCTCCCAACCTCAACTGCTCTGCTTCGTTGCCTCCTTTTTTGTTCCTTCTCATAACAAAGGTTACAAATAGGTCACCTGCATGTGAGACCCAAATGTCTCGATCTCATAGTAACTTGGCTTGTTTGATTTTCCATTTGAACTAAACATTTTTGATCAGCAAGAATTCATAAATCGGATTTCCAGTTTCTCTTAAAAAGTTTTAAACTCCGGCCACACGGGGTACATTTTCCCACTTAGCAGCCATCAGTAGAATGTCCCCATTTTAGACCCGGCAAGTTCACGCCCCCTCCCCAGAGGCCCCGCCCGCCCTCTGGCTCACTGACATCTCTTGCTCGAATCCTAAGCAGCTGAGTCTGTGACACTTCTTACAGACTTTTAAATGCAGCATGGACACTCTCCCCCCGCAGTGGGGTAAGGAGAGGAGAGGGGGACCTCAGGATTTTTCTTGGCTGGAGACTGGCTCCTAAGGATTCTTACTCTGGCCCAGGATCCAGAGATAGCAGGGCGCTTCCAGCCACCTGGGGGCCATTCCCAGGGATACAAACAAAACAAAGGTGGAGCTCAACCCAGACCCCCAACCTCAGCCCCCGTCTCCTCCCAGGGTGTCCAGGCTCTGCCCCACACTTCACCATCCCTTCCAGCAATGTAAGCATCTCCATCCCTATGTGTCTTCCCAGGAATGCTTTGTCTCCTTCCTTCTTTGTTTCCTTCCTCAGAGCCCCAGCTGCTCATTCCGCCCCTGGCAGCACCCCCAAATAAGAGCCACTTTTCCCATAACTGATGGAAGGTAAAGAAATCGAGAGGTAAGTGAGCTACCAGGTATAAGAGAAAGAGAACCCAGGTGCCGTGCTCACCTCCGAACTCCCCAGGGCCGCGCCCTGAGCGGAGTGGAGCGCCAGGAGAGAGAGGAGCACCACAGCGGGGAGGACTGCGATCTTCATGGTGTCAGGCTTGGGGTGCTTTGAGGCCAGGCCTCGCCGCTTGCCTTTTATAGTCCAGGGAGGCAGACTGAGCAGAAGTGGGGTCCCCACCCCACTGACTCAGCCCCAGATCCTGTCACCACCCCCGGGGCTCTGGGATGGGGAGGTAGGGACTGTTCCCTACTTACCTTGGATTTCTCAATTCCCACCTGCCCGGGGGACTGGGGAGGTGAGCCAGCGATGGGTTCTTCATGCAAATGGAGCTGCGATGGAGACAGGTTGGACCTGTCCCTCCAAGGGATTGGCATTGACACCCAAGCAACCTCTCCTATTGTCTTTGTCTCTTTTTCTTATACCTTTTCGTTCCTCTCTTATAATTCAGGCTTTTTTCCACCCTACCTGATTCTGCCTAAACTCCTTAGACTGGCATTGAAGGCCTTCCATGCCCTGGCCTCAACCTACCCTTCTAACTCTTTTGTCTTTTCCTCCCTTTGCATGCACCTCTTCTTCTGGCCGAACTGGACTCCTAACCGAAGATACCCTTCTTTTTCCTCCTGCAAGCATCTGTCCCTGCTACTCCTTATGCCTAAAATGCCCTTCTCTCATCTCTTGCTCTCAGAACCCAACATCCATCTTGGATAAAGCTTCCCTGATGTCTCCCAGCATCCGCCAGCCCCCTACCACTCCCTCCTCAAACTTCCCTTCTTGAAATTGCCAGTGCAATTCATTTGTGTTTCTCTGGCATTGAACCCATAGTAACTTGTGTTCTTCCTTCATAGAATATCATGTTCCTTGAGGTCAGGAACTATATCTTAAGCCCCTTTGTATCCCCCAGCACTGCATTTTACACCGTAGAGGTGGAGGTCAACATTTGCTAGATTGGCTATCTTAGAATCCAAGCATCCTTCCATCATGCTGCACACTTTCTCCCTTTGGGGGTTGGACCCATTGTCCAGACTCCCATCTTTTACTCTTGGGTCTTTAGAGAGGTAACTGTCTTGAGCTGAGAAGACAAAGGATAGAGAAACACTAACAGATCTCAGAGAGACCCGCTTGGCGATGGGATCTGGGTCCTGAACCTTGGGCGCCCACTCCATTTCATTCATCTTATACCTCTCCCCACCCCATTCCCCCGGCTTGGGAGTCACATTGCCTCAAAGTAACAAAACATCCTAATCAAGCAACCTTCCACACAAAGAGGTTCAGGAGGCCCAACCGGTTCCTGGTGTAATAGGGAGGTGCTGCAATCCAGACGGGCCCTGACTGGACAAAGCAAGACCTCATTTAAGAGTGGGTCGCTTTACCCCAACCTGATGCAACGCACAGAGGGAGCAGGCCTCGGCGGGGTGCGCTCCATGGCGTTCCCGAGCAGTCTGCATGACCCCAGGAGCCGGCACTTCAGTTCAGTTCTCCTGCTGCCCCCACACCCTGGTCCTGAACATCCTGCCCACATTTAGCCTCCTCAGTTTTTCTAGTGGCTTCTCCCCCTGTGCAGAGCTCCCTGAGAAGACAGTGCTCAAGGAACGCTCACTAAACATGAAGATGACCACGTCACAGCGGAGGTCCTGTGCGGTTGGCGCTACTGGAGGGGATGAGTGAGAAAATGACAGGAGGGCGGAGCACCTCCCAAAAAGGCTTTCTGGAGGACACAAGTTTTCATGTGTAATGAATTCTTACCAAGTAATTAGCAGGGACTGAAGGAGCTCAACCACCATCTGTCAGCATCAGGTCAACTCCAAGAGCAGAATGAAGAACCAACAAAGGAGAACTGATATGTAACACGGTCCAATTAGACATGCTGATGGAGGAGCACACGGCAGGGGTAATCCGAAGCCACAGATGAACCCAACACCAGCATCTCTTGGGCTTCAGGGCCCTTTTGCAACAAATTGACTTCCCTATGTTTTCCTGTCCACCGCATGCTAAGGCTGCTAATAATAATCTTAGCCAATTTATTGATGGCTTGCTACATGGCAGGCCTTATGCTAAGTGCTCTAAATGCATGCTTGTCATTGAAACATCGCAGTGCTTCTGTGAGGTAGGTCGTATAATTATTTGCATTCTGTAGGCAGGGGAGCCACAGCACATAGAGGTTAAATAACTCGCCCACGGTCACCTAGCCAGTGTGTGGCGAGGCCCGCGTTAGAGCCCCAGGAGTCCAGAGCCCGCCCCTGTCCTGCTCCTTTGCTCACTGCGAAGTCGTGTCCAGCAAAGGGCCTCGGCCAGCCCACGGAGCACCTGGTGTGAATTAATAGACCCAAGCCCTGAGAGCTGGGGGGCCAGGCTGCAGTTCGCCCAGCTTTGCCCTCTTGACAGTGTCCTTTTGTGGCGGGCGGCGTGCACAGCCACAGCTGGCAGCTCTGAGCACACGCGCATTAATTTCAGCGAATCAAACTGTGCGCTCTTGGCCAAATGAAAACAGAAAACTAAGAGATTAATGGTATTCAAGGAGTACATGTCTGGGAAGGAACCTGCGGTTGCCTGAGATTCCAGTTGCCTCTTCTTGCTCAAGCATCTTACCACACCAAGTGTGTATTTAAAGACAGTCTTCTAGTTCTAACATTTAAAGTTCTAGTGTTTAAAGACAGGTACTTTTGGGGGGAGGGTATAGCTCAAGTGGTAGAGCACATGCTTAGCACGCATGAGGTCCCGGGTTCAATCCCCAGTGCCTCCTCTAAAAATAAATAAATAAATAACCCTAATTACCTCCCCCAGCAACATAAAAAGAAAAAGAAAAAAAAAGAATTAAAACAAAAAAGATAGGTACTTTTGTACAATGCCTCTGAACACAAGCCTAATGCTTCACATGCACAACCAAAGAAATTCTCAATGCTGGAGAAAAAACTGGCTGGGCTTGACTTAGAATTTCTTCCCATTTGGTTCCTTCTTGATGGATTCTCAAGGGTGATTTTGGCTTTACATGATTTATGCCATGGGTGCTAATCTAGAACCCAGTATCTGTCTCCAAGCTCCCTCCCCTTCTCCAGTCTAAATTGCTTCATTGAGTTTGTGTTCCCCAAGTGTCCAGTGATGGGACAGGTTGGGGAAGAGGAGGGTAGAGGAATTCTCACTGGCAGGGGGTCCCAGCATCTCGGGGAATGGATGGTGGCAGGAGAATCTGCCCTGGATTCAGCGTCACTTTGGATGCATCACAAAGGGTTAGCGGAGTCAGGCAGAGTCACGGAGTCTGGCTCTGCATGGCCCCATCTCCAGGTCTGGTTGATCTCCTGGTTCCCACTCTGAGAATACCAGTAAAACCTTGTTTTCCCACCCCGCCCCAAATCTGCCAGAACTTGAGTGTGGGTAGGAGGCGAGGCCCGGCCCTGATTACCACACTACAGACACACCTAGGGGCTGGGAGCCAGCCTCTCGGGCTCGGGGAAGGAGTAGGGGGTTTGAAGGGATGCACACTGGGCCTCGGGGCCTTGTGAACATCAGGGTGAAAAGCCTAGAATCTTTGGAGGGAAAGGGGGCTGGGGTGTGGGGTATTGGGGGGCAGAGCTCAGGGCAAGCCTGTCCCATCCTTTCCTCCCTCAGCCAGGGTTACTGTCTCACCCAGGAAGGCAGCCGCACTGCCCAGCAGGTCTGGTTTCTTCCTTTGCCGCCCACCCTCTGCCCTGTGTGCCCTTTGCTTCAGCTTCTCCTAGGAAGACTTCCTGGGTTGAGCCCACATACTTCTGATCCCTCCTTCCAGTCTCTAATTCCCAAAATGCTTATTAAACAGCTGCTTTGGCACTTGCTGCTAGGAATTCAAGATGGATGGGATCCCTGTCCTGTGGATCTTCTGTTCTAGTGGAAGAGACAGATCATAACCTAAACAAAAAACTGGGAAACAAGGTCATTTCAGAGAATGACAAGTTCTGTGAAGAAAATAAAGTGATGCGATAGTGTATAGCGTAGGTATCCTTGGTGAACCTGACTTGGGGAAGGAAATTGAAATTAGAAATTAGACCAAAAGCCATTAAGGCTCCAACGTTGTCGGGATCTCGGGTTCCAGGGACGGTAGCAGCAGCGTTCCCTGTGAGCCTTTCCCAACAGGTCCGGGACGACCCAGGAGGGAGGCCAGAGCCACACCCCCCTGAGGATGGGATACCCCCCCTGGTAGGGAGTTGGGATATTATTCCAGGACCGATGAATCTTGTGGGGTACTCTGAGCAGCGAATCCTCACTGTCTGCCACGGGAGGATGGATTTTAGGGCAAAAATGGAAGTCAGAGGCTACGCTGAGTAACTACTTCAGAGGCCCTGCGAGGAGAAGGGGGTGGCCTGCCGTTTTATTATATCCTTTATACCAGAGGGCCTTACGCTTCTTCAGGTGGTACTTTAAACTTTAGAGGGTGGACCAGGGGCACCCCAAGTCCAGAAGCCTATTGACCACCTCAGCATCTCCCTGAATCCCTCCGGGACCGGCTGGCGGAGACCCGGGATGCCTCACCCAGGCTCAGGGAAGCTGGCCAGCAGGAAGCCCTGGGACGGTCGCGCTCGCCTCCCTGTGGCCGCGAGGAGGTACTGCAGAGCCCCCCTCCGCAGTTGAGACCAAAGATGCCCGTAAAGCAGTAGCCCCGATTTAAGGACAAAAGTGAGCAGAGGATGCGGATCAAGTCGGTTTCCCCTAGTGTATTTTGGGCCCGGTTTCTTTCATGTATTCATCAGCTGTTGTCCGGCCCTGTGCTCAGCACTGGGGATGGAGCAGTGACCAAGGCAGACAGGGGTAACACCCTCAGGGAACTGGCAATCTCTGAGGGAGTCACTGAAGCTGGCAGGGTGCTTCCTGTCCTCCTTTTATGTCCTGGGTCCCCGCAAGGACGTCAAGGACATCAGAGGTGTCAGGAAGTGGTGGGGCTCCTGGGTTTGGGCACCCTGTGTGGGCTTGGTGGGATTTCGCTCAGAGACTCTGAATGCAGACTTTCTGGTCCTGTCCCCAGGGCTCCTGGCTTGTGATCAGCCTGAGCTCAGCCTGCACCCGAATTTCTGCCAATTTCATTGGTACATTGACAGAGCAGAAGTTTTTCACCACTTCCTCTGCCTCCTGGAGGCACAGAGCAGCTGCACTGATAAGGCACTGGGTGTGAGCCATTCCCCACAACTCCCCAGCCCCAGCTTACCCTCATCCACACTTCAGTGTTTGTACGAGGCCGGGGCTTATTCTCCACCGGCCCACGTCCTCCTTCCTGCCTCTCCCTGACCCGCTGCAGCAGCTCTCCTTTCTTGGAACAGCGTCTTTAATATCCTTACTCCTGTTTGCATAGCTCCCTTGTTCCTTTTACAGGCTGGCAAACACCTGACTGCTTCAAGTGCAGTAAGCCTGATATTCAGAGGTAAGTTGGGCAAAGATTATTTTTTACAGATGGAGAAACTGAGGCCCAGGGAGATCAGTTAGCTGCTTCCTGTCAGGACCACCTGGGTCTTATCACTCTCGGCCCAAGGCAGATTATCTGCCCCTAAACCCCTCTTCTCTTCTCCCTGATCCAGGCCATCAGCGTAGTATTGAAAAATAAAGTTTGCCAGAGTCTTAGGGAAACAAGATTCATGTTTTATTTCCACAGAGAAACTCTAAAGTAGGCTGCGTCTCCTGAATGTCTGGCGTGGTGACCTGAGGTCACAAAATAGAGCAGGTGAAGAAATGCCTGGTGTATCCGATGAGGCTGGTGGTCAAGGAGACCCCACAGTGGAGGGGGGGGGACGGGACAGACAGGCCCCCCAGGCTAGAAAAAGCAGGTGGCAGCACCCAGACCAAGAGCTGGTGATTGGTGTTTTTCGGGGCCTCAGTCGCTATTGGAAGTGATTTTCTAGAAGAAAAGAGCCAGTGGTAGAACGCGGCCACTCCAGGCTGAAAGCAGGCATCCTCCCACCCTGCTGCTGTGTGCCGCAGGTCCTCAGGGCCTGCCTGTCACCTGCGGTCCCCTCGCTTTCACTCCGCTCTAAAACAGATATCACCTCTTCTTCCTGCCTCTGAACCTTTGCACCTGGTAGGCTCACCGCTCTAGGCCCCCCACACAATTCCTGTCCTGTCTGGCTCCTTCATCAGGCCGCCCTGCCAGCCTTCTCTGTCCCCGCCTGGCCCCGCCTCTGTCAGGCCTCCCCCAGCACTCTGAGGGGTGCTTTCGAAAGTTCAAGTTCATTTTCTTAGGAGTCTCTCTCCACACTCTACACCGGGGTCTCCTCCTCTTGAATACCTTTAGCACAACCGCCCAGAGCGGGATCCCAGCCCTGCCCCGGATGAGCGTGCCCTGTGTGGCTCCCTCTGACACTCACCTACCAAAACTTCACCCACTGCAGCAGGCCAGGCTGCACCCGGGACGCCTGTGGGACAAGGAGAGTGTCTGAGGGGACATGGCACCGTCCCCGGCACCCCCTCGGGTCTCAGACCCCATCTCTCTTGAGCTGGATGTTCTGCGCCCCAGTACTTACCGAGGAAGACGGCGTGACTCCCCCCTGTAAAGAGATCAGAGAGGGTGAGGTAAGGGCTCCAGTGGCCTCTCTGCTCGGCCATGTCCTCAGGGCTCAGACCAGGATTATCGCAAAGGTCTGAGTGTGGACTCTCAGCCCATGGAATTGTTTTCCCAGGAGATGTATCAGCCTGAGTGCATTTCACCCAAGATATTGAATGTGGTCCGTGAACACACACTGACCGAGGGGAGTGGAAAGAGGAAACGTAGGTCTCCCTCTGCCAGCTCTGTGGGTAGAAATTGACCACAAGGGATGGGCGAGGTGGGTACCCACAGGTGCTATTGACTGCATCTCAGCCTCCTCTCAGTCAGCAGGCGGTTTCTGATCTCTCAGTAGACGTCCTCTCCCCGAGGGCAGGGGCTTTGTTGTTCTGAGAGATGGTGGGAAATACCGCCTGATTTTTCATCAGCCTAATTAGCATTTAACACGTTCATTTTCGGAATTTACCAGATTGCTTCCTTTGCAACCCAATAAGACCAAATCCTCCTGTTTTTCCCGTTATTTCCTGTGTGGAGTGAAGCATTTACTTTCCCGCCAACCAGGAGTTCCCAGGCTAGCTTTCCCTAACTGCTAGCGTCCCCTCCTCTCCCCTGACCCCACTGGCCCCAAAGTCAGCAACTAAAAGCTGGAGAGCAGACACTACAAAGGAAAGCTGGCTGTTTTGCCATGTGATTTTTTCTTCTTTTCTGGATCCGTGTAGTCCTTGCGAGGACACTGGCTCCCTGTTTTCTTCCTGGCACGTGACTGGCCACTGCTCCCTTGTAAGTGAGGGGGTGGGTGAGTGGGTGTGGAGAACCTTCTACCCTCTTCTTCCAAACTGCTCTCAGGGGGCTGGAGTCTCCCTCCACAGGGGTGGAGAGACATGACTATCAAAGTGAGCAGGATTCAGCCCCAGCTAACCTACGCAGAGGACCTTAGCAGTGCAAAAACTCCCTCCCTTGCCCCGATGGAGACCCCAGTGGGGATCAGGGCAGCTGCAAGTCTTACCTTAGCAGGGATCTTGGTTGCGTACTGCCCGCCAGAGGCGTTAGGGTGTGCCTGCTGGTTATAGTTGTTCTGCGGAAGGAAGCAGGGGCGGTGGGTGGGGGCAAGGAGAGAAGGGATGAGGGCACTTTGCCCCCACTCCCCTGCCCTGAATGGACCTTCTCAAAGCCCCTGCCTCCTCCGCTCCTCACGTCGCGTGTTTCCTTCTGTGGAATCTCCTGCGGCCAGGGCCCACACCTTCACCTCACTATACCGTCCTAGCCCTCCTCCGTCCCTCCCTGCCTCTCCCAAATCCTCGAGTGTCGCTGGGGAGGTGACAGTAGGAGACAAGGAAGAAAGTGAAATTTAAATCAGGTGGTGGTGGTGGTAGTGGCGGTTGTGGGTATAGCTCAGTGGTAGAGCGCAGGCTTAGCATCCACAAGGTCCTGGGTTCAGTCCCCAGTACTTCCATTGATAATAATAATATAATATAATAAATAAATCAGTGGTCGGTGGCAGTTATCTTACCTTAGAAGTTACAGGTACCACGTCTTGCCATCCTGCGCCAGGCTAAGGAAATTATAGAATAGGACATAAAGGAGAGTTTCAGGTTGGCCAGACCCAGGAATGGGGCTGAGAGGAACCCAGGGCCGGCCCCGGGGCAGGGCAGTCTGAGGGAGAGGCTCACCTGGCCAGCGCCGCCTGCCCTCTTCTGGAGCGACGAGGACGCCTCAGCACCCTGGGAGGGAGAAGGAGCCGGAGAAGGAGGCGTCGTGAGGGCATCTCCATGGACCTGCAGGCCCCAGAGTAGGGGGCTCCAGCATCCCACCCGGCCTGCCCCGCCCCCTCAGTGGTCTCAGATACGTGCTGCCTACAGAGGCGACGGCAAGCCTGGAGGGAACTAATGGCCCAGACAGATATGGGACAGATTTTCCTGCACAGTGTCAGGGGTCGTGGATAGGGAGAGGTAACCCCACTGCCACCCATGCACCTGGGGCCCTGGCAGCAGCGCTGGCCTGAGCCTGAGCTAGAAAAATCGGGGAGCTGTGCCGACCCGGGCACCTCGGCCCCACCTGCCTTCTGCCCGCAGCACACCCTGCTCCCCACACAGGCCTTTTCATCCTTGTTCCCAAATGCTGTTCTCCCCAGGGTCCTGGGAAGGATGGGCTGTTACCCACAGGGGCGAAGGGACGTGCCTTGGGTTCGCTCTGGCTCAAAGGAGGGAAAGGAAGGGGAGAAATCCAGGAAAGCAGAGGGAGCCCTTAAGAAGCACTGCAGGTGCACTTGCCCCCCAAATCCCCGGAGCAGGGCAAGGGGAAGATCTGCGCAGGAGAGGAGCTTAGTTCCTGCCATCAGCCCTTCTCTACTGGGAACACACACTCACACACACACACTCATACACTCGCGCGCGCACGCACACTTACAGAGTCAGGATCAAGATGTTCTTCCCAAGTCAGGCCTGACTCCCCGCCTTCTCCACACCTGAATGCACTCTAAACCCACTGAGGGCACAAACTGGTGGACCACAGGCCTCCAGACATTGTTTGGTCTGGATGTTTAAGTTAAGTTAGTCGCAAACAATTGAAAACCAGATTTCTAGCTTTTCTTGAAAGATCCCACGATGTGGCCCTGTCTGTCCAGCCTCACGTGCCTAGCCCATGTGGAAAATGAGTGGGCAACACTTGCCTCGATGCCCAAGGGCCCTGATTCCGGAAAGCCCCTGGCCAGATGGAATCGAAGTGTGGCCTTCTGTAGGACCCAGGGGCCCTGCCCAGATAATCTGACCCCTTCCCCCATTCTTCCTGCTCTCCTGTTTCTCTTCCACGTTCCTCCCTAGTGACCCCTTTCCAGCCCTGAGAGTTAGCCCCAGCTCCAGGCCCCTCCCTCTTCCCCACCTTGTGGTCCCCTCCACCTGCTCACCCTGCGGTACCCACCCAGCTGTGGCTTCCCTGGAGCCAGGCCACCCCCAGCAGCAACAGCAGCAGAGCGGAGACGGTGGCCGGCTTCATGATCCTGTACCTGTGGAGGCCCCAACCCTCGGCCTCGGCTTTTATCCTGGGGAGGACCCGCCACCCTACTCCTTCTTCGGTGACTCACAACTTCTCTCTTCCACTCCACCCCTGCTCTGCGTTGCATAAGGGGAGGGGGAGGAAAATGGGAAGGGAGGGAAGGGAAGGATCTGGGACAGAATCTGCAAGCCACTGCCCCGGGTCAGAACCCCAGTCCCCGGAGCTGAGCTTCCTGCCCCAGCTTTCTGCCGCCCTTACCTGAAGAATTGCTTTCCAGTTCAAGAAAGGAGTGTAGTGTTTGAAGTCCTAGAGGGAGAAGGAGAGATGAGTGGGCCATGGGGAAACAGAATCCAGAGGGTGGAGTCTGGCAGCTGGTTGGAAAAGTTTCAAGATCACGTGCAAGAGAGGGTTTTGGCACCTGGGCGTGGTCTGGGGCGGGATGAAGATGAGCTTACAGGACACTGAGGGTGTTCGCATTTCTGATGGTATTGGTGATAAGCTTTGGGTGAGATTACCTATCTCACCAGTGAAAAGAGGGGGAACTTGGCGGCAAGTAAGCTGCCTTGAGGGAGGTGGGGGGAGGACAGGATGACCAAGAGTGAGACTTCTCCTACCTCCCAGAGTCGGCTGAAGTAGAGGAGGGCGCGAGTGCTGGGGGGTGGGGCTTGGCCCTGTGGATGAAAGTAGGGCGCAGGTGAGCCGGGAGCCTGACCCCCTGCTCACCGAAGCCCCAGCTCCTGCAACCACCATCCTCAGCCTTCAGAATTCATTGTGACTAAGGTCTGGGGGAAGCTGGGTGTCTTTAGGGACATGAGAAAACTTTCTGGGAACAGAGGGTGAAAGAAGCCAGGTCTCTGGAGCCACTCGCCACCCCTCCGTCACACATACCGCACAGCGCAGCATTCTCCTCTAGCCCAGTTTCCCTCAGCCTCAGGCAGAACACAGCTGTAGTAAAACCTCAGAACCAGGACCTTTCACCTGCCATGCCACCTCCCGCCCATCTCCCAGAGCTGGGGGGCTGAGATCACCCTTTCCAACCCCCCCAGAACAACAGTTGGAGACATAAGAAAGGAGCAGAGACCAGGAGTGTGGGACAGCTAAGATTTATTTCAAGGGCAAATGTTGGGGTTAGTGGTGAGATAGTGGTGTTTTAAGAAGGGATGGGGGCTCCCATCCATCTGGTAGCTCCTTGTCGGGAGGTCACGGGGTGCGAAAGCTCCTCTGGTCCTGGGCAAAGAAATAAGTTCTAAGAGGGAGCTCGAGGACTAGGAATTCGGGGGTAGTGGACCAAGGCAAGGGGAGAGATTGGGCCCCTGCTCCAGAAAACTGCAGGGACCTTTTCACCCATGGCTGTCATCCAGTCCAATCCAGATATTCCAGCTTGGGCTTAAAAGCCCCCATACTTGGCCAGGATGCTAAGTGGAACCCCCCTGTCCTTAGTCCTCACTCTGGCCGAAGTCCTCCTCTCCCTCATCCTCTCCCCACCAGGAAGAAGCTGGGGTTCTCCATTTCTTTGCACATCTCTGTCCTGCCCTGCTTCCTAGGAGATTGCTCCTGAGGGGAGCCACCCCAAACGGATTCTGCACAGCTGCGAGCACCCTCTTTGCTGCCACCCACCCCGCTGCCAGGTGTCAGCCTGGGCCCTCAGGGAAGCATCTGTGTGGGCCCTGGCTGTCCCGTCAGACCCTAAGTGCCCCACGCTCAGGGGCCTGGTCTCCGCATGGTCCACAGTAAGGAGTTTCGCCCAGACCAGAAACAGTTTTTCACGAAATCGGAGCAGTCTGCTCTGTTCATCTGGTTCATTCAGACCACGACTCTGCCGTAGCTAGGAGTTTGCACCTCCTGCCTTTCACCCCCCACCTTACTCCCAGGTGCCTTTCCTGAGGTGTGGGTGATCCCTTTGCCTCCCCGCCTTCCACCGCCCACTTCCCCAACAAGCTCTGCAGGGCAGGGGTCCTGGTCTGCATTCTCTTACATTAAGGGTCAGAAACTCCACTGCTCACAGGGACCAGTTGGGTGGCAGAATGACAGTGATGGGCGGGGGCAGTCTGTCCAGTGCAGAGCAAGCCCCCGTGGCAAGAAGCAGCTGCTACTCAGCTCTAGGCCGTCATAGGCCGTAGAAAGAGGGGCCCAGGGTGGACATATTGTTTTTAAAAACTAGATCAAACCAACCAATCAGTGGGCCACCGATGGCAGCTTCTGCCTCGGGGATTTGTTTGGATGGTTCGTCTGCCGTCCCGCCTTCCAGTCCACCCCCTGTGCCCTGGAGGTACACCTGCTATTCTGGAGTCAAATCAGCCTGGCCAGGGGCTCCCCCTCCAAGGATGGGGTGAACAGGGCAGAAGGAGCCGGAGGATCTAGGCCCCAGGTGTTTCCTAAAATGATGTACGTTCAGGGCCCAGACTAGAACCGGGCACCAGCAGGCTCTCAGCCGGCCAGCGTTCGTTCCTTTTCCCTTCCCTCTCAGTGTCAGTCCTCAGCTGGCCTTTTAGCTCCTGATGGTTCAGTCCATCCCCTCCCCCTGCCTCTGCTTCCTCCCTGGTTCCTGAGGATCAGGCCTGAGAACTCACTCTCCCCTGCACCTTCTAGTGTCGAACTGGAAACTGAGGTTCAGCCCTGCTCAGGTCTGTGTGCTGAGACATAAAAGAGACCCCTTCCCTCCTCATCCCCAACTCCCAGCTCTTTACAAATTCTCCCTCTGTCTTCAGGGCTCTGCTGTCCTTCCCCCTTGTTTCTATCTTTTTTTTTTAAAACACTGGCTGAAATGCTCTCCTAGAGGCATTGACATTGTTCCCTGACTCACCAAGCAGGAATTAGCTTTCTTCTCTCTGTCTTTCTCCCACAAAGATCAGAATGACACAGCCTTCCAGCCCTTACCTTGTTTATGGCATCCCAGTTAATGAAACCCAGCTTGGATTTAAAATTCTGCAGAGAGAGAGGAAAAAAAAAAGAAAGAAAGAAATGACCCAACTGGTCCACAATGTAATCAGCTCAAGGTCTCAGGACAAGAGAGGTCAAGAACCACCACTGATGGTCACTCTAGAAAGAAGGCTGCAGCCTGTGGGGCCAAGGGACAAAAGTTTGGTTTTCCAAAAGAGAGTGAGCAGAGCACTATTGCCGAACTCACCTTCCAGAAAGCTTCGAAGTTGAAGGGCCCAGGAGTTGTCGGAGAGTCCTAAGAAACCCATGAGAACAGGGTAAGAGTCAGAACCGACTTTGTGAGTATGGGGCAGGGGCAGGAGACATAGGGAGAGGCAAGGGTGGGTCTCAGCCCAAGGAGGAGTGATGCCCCCACTCACCAAGGTGTTGATTCCACTGACGGCTTCACCTGCTCCACTGGACCCTTGCCCCTGGGTGGGGAAAAGGCGACTGGTGTTCCAGGCTCATGCATCTGGCCACCAATCAACCTGCTCCTGGCCCACTCATCTCCGCCTTTGCTCAAGTTCTCTGTCCTCCCTGTAAAGCCTCCTTCTTCTCTTCTTTACACATTGCCTAAGAGCCCTACCTCCAGAAAGCCTCACTCGAATGACTCACTACTCATTACCCAGAATAACCCTACCGAGTCCTTTGAATCATATCCATATTCTTACTTCCACCCATTCCTTGCTCCCAAAACACCACTAGTAACCAATATTTAATCCCACTGTGTGCTGAGCTCTGGGTCCCATCCTGTCCCATTCCCATGCGGAGACGCCTCCGCTTTGCAGATGGGGAAGCGGAAACTGGGAGCTGTCCAGCAACTTTGCTCGGCACCTGTCTCCATGTCAGACTCCAGCGTCAGGACCCTGATCCACCTTGGTCCGGTTATGGTGCAGACAGCTCTGCAGTAACTGAGGAGGGGTGAGCAAGTTAGGCTTCACGGTCCCTCTTTTACCCAAGAGGAAGCCCAGGCTCAGAGAAGTCAGCTGACTTCCCTGGAGACACACAGATGATTGATGATACTGCTGGTGTTTGAACCCCCATCTTCTAGGTCAAAGTTCACTGCCTTTCTTTCCACTTGTCAACTTGGCCTTCTTAAATCTGGTTTTTAAAAATACCCCCTTGACCATTTTATTATTTTTGTCTGTTTTCCCCCCTCGCTACATATTTAAGACTTTGGTATATTAAAAAACCGGAAATAGAGTTACAGGCTGGGAGGAGGTTTCTTAAAACTTGTCTCCTCATAAAAGTTTAGCATCCCTGATACGTGAGAGCTTTCTCAATGTAGCCCCACTGCCCCCATGCCTCCTTCTCCCCAGGGGCGCGCCCCTCACCCTGCAGGCCACGCTCACACCAGTGCGCAGACCAGCAGCGTCGGCCTCATCCTGAAGCTTGTTAGAAGCCAGAACCTCAGCCCCACCCTAGACCTGCTGAGTCAGAATCTGCATTTTCACAAGACCTCTAGGTGATGCCTTAGCCTACCCCCTCCTCTGTCAGCGCCGCAGGTGCCGACAGAGGGCCAGATTTCCAGAATAAGCTAGGAGGGAAATGCATACATCCAAAGCACTATTTCAAAATGCTGTCCAAGAGGTCACCGAATTCTGTTCACGGGCCAGTGGAAACAATTTTGTTTCCAAAAGGACTGGTTTTCCTATGATTTTTCACCACCCCTTCTGTGGAGATATCATGTAAGGAGTTGCAATGAATGAATAATTTGGAACTTAATACACTTTCTAGGGGCACACATTTGGTTTCTTCCCCCTAAATTGTAAAGTCCCCCAGGAGGGTTTGGGACAGAGGTTAGCGTTAGGCACGGGGCCGAGCAGAGTTGAATTGAGGAGTGGGCACAGTTGCCGTGACAAACCACAGTCGCTGCAAGTGTGGCTCTCACCTGACTCCTGGATGCTCCGGACTCACGGACTTCATTCCCTGGGTTGTTACACTGTGGGAGGGAGAAAGAGGGGACGCTCTCAGTCCCTACCCAGGCACCAAGTCCAGACCCCAGACTGCAGCATCTTAACCCTGAGGCCGGCCCAGGTCCCGCATCCCCACCCCGGCCCAGCTGTCCTCTCCCCTCGGCGCCCCCATCACTCACCGCCTCTTCCCCTTCCCACAGGTAGGGGGAGATCTGCGCAGGCGCACGCTCGCCAGACACTCACCTCGGGTTTGTTTCCGCCACCACTTCCACCACTGCTACCTGAGCTGCTGCCGTATCCCTAGGAGGGGAGGCAAGAGTCTGTATGGGGTCTTCAGAGGACCTGGGCGGGGCCCACATAGTTCCCATAACAGGGATTAATCCCATAATTGGGATTATGATATTTTAACCCCCTCTCCTCAGCCTCCATGCCTTCCCAGCTTTATCCAGTCAGTCACTGGGGGAAGTTATTTGGAGCACAGAGGAGGCCAGGTGTGGCCAAGTGCATTTGGAAATGTGGGATAATTTGGGGATTCTGAGCTGTTGCCCTCCACCCCCACCTCACGCCAGGGGCAGGAAAGGCCCCGGAGCCCAACTTCATAAGAGCTGTGACCCTGGCAGCGGGGAGTTCGTTCTGCCCTCCTCCTGCCTCGCCTCCCCTTCTTCCTCTCCTGGGACCCAGAAAAGGGAAGAGACCCCTGGGGAGTCCTACCTGGGAGCCCGTGTAGACCCCTTGATCAAAATTCCTAGAGTTTTCCAAGGGTTGGTCCTAGACAGAGTCGGGTGGGGCGGTCCAGGGAACAGTAAATTAAAGCAGCTCACGTCAGCTGGCTGGTTCTAGTTACTTCCCTCCTCTTGCCTGAGACCTTCCCCAGACCCCCAAGGGACCCAGCTGTGCTCTGATGGGAGTGCCACCCTAATCCGGCTGCCAGGTCGTGGTCGCCTCCTGGTCCTCGCACCCCTCGCGTAGGGGCCTCCTGTGACTGTATTTATTAGTGTCATCTACCCTGCAGCTCACAATGTCCCTAAATCTCCACGTGCGGTCCTGCCCTCGTTCTCCTGGGAGCATCCCAGACAGGGGTTGTGTTTTCCTGGGCACGGGGCTTCCATCCACCAACAAGCTCTAGTCAGATTTGCCCAGTGGACACGCCTGCAGGAGCAGAGCCTGGACAGGGGACAGAGCATCCCCGCCATCGCCGAGTGGAAGATGAGGGGACAGAGTGAATGTGGTAGGCAGGGCACTTCTTCCGGAGAATCTGAGTGTGTGCATAAGCAACACTGCTCAGTGGGGCTGGGAAGGTGGGGACCAGAAGCTGGGGAGCCCCAGGGTGACAACTACAGTGACGTCACCTACCCTGGGGCTGGCAGCGTTCAGGGAGGCCTTGGAGGGGATGTCCTCAGCAGGGACCACCAGGGGCCTCCGTCCTGTCTCTGCCTTCAGTCAGAAGCAGAACTTACCCAGCTGGGTCCAGAACTGCTGCTGCCGCCACTGCCAGTGCTGCCACTGCCACTGCCGCCACTGCCACTGCTGCCACCATGGCCACTGCTGCTACCACCGCCACTGCCGCTGCTGCCGCCTCCACTGCCGTTGCTGCCGCTGCCGCTGCTGCCACTGCTGCCACCACTGCCACTGCTGCCACCATGGCTACTGCTGCCACCATGGCCACTGCTGCCACCACCGCCACTGCCGCTGCTGCCGCCGCCACTGCCATTGCTGCCACTGCCGCCGCTGCCACTGCTGCCACCGCTGCCACTGCTGCCACCATGGCCACTGCTGCCACCATGGCCACTGCTGCCACCATGGCTACTGCTGCCACCATGGCCACTGCTGCCACCACCGCCACTGCCGCTGCTGCTGCCACCACTGCCGCTGCCACTGCTGCCACCACTGCCACTGCCGCTGCTTCCCTGAGGGGGCAGGAAGTGAATAGAGCAAGGTCTAAAGATGAGAACACCAAGACTGCCTTCCTCCCTCCCCTCCTCTCCTGCTCAGGAATGCGTCTTCCCCGGCTGAGGGGGCAGCATCTCTGTTTTCTCCCTGTGCAAAATGCCCTGCTCGCCCTGTCCTCTTACCCCAGAGTGGCTGGAGCTTCCACCCAAGCCGGATGGCGGGGGGTTGGTGCACTGTGGACAGAAGGGGACCAGTGAGTTTCCAGACTCCCGTGGAAGCCGTCCCCATGGGCCAGGCTCTCCTGCCTCCTGTGGCTTGGCTCTCTTTCCCAACATGTCTCTCCCTCAAGGCCCAGCTCACTCTCCAGAGCCTCCTCCCCGCACCCACCTCTCCTCCCAACCAATCTGCCTCTTCCCTCAACCGTCCCCCCTCCATTTTTCTTCCCCTTTGGTCTCTCCCACTCTCCACCCCACGCATCCAGATTCCCCTTCTTTTCCAGACTCTTCCTCTTACCTCTGTATTTGGGTTGTTGCTGCCTCTCACTGACCCATAACCAGGTTGGGCCACAGCTCCCTGTTGGGAGGGTGAGACTGAGTATGGGATCGGGAGGGACACAAGGGAGGCACTGAGAGAGTGGGCTCAAAGGGAGGGAGGTGGCAGGCATCAGGGCTGGGGAGTTACTTTACCTGAGTGTTGGTCCCCAAGTTGAATGGCCCTCCATGGCCTCCTTGGCCCCAGGAGCCTCCTTGAGAGTTGGTTCCAAAGCCGCCACCTGAGCCCCCAGCGTATACCTGGTCCCAGGGAGTCCTTGGACCTCCAGGATTGCCCTGAGAGCCAGAGATGCCATGGCCATCAGCTGGGGGCTGGCCGTTGGTTCCCTGCAGGAACAACATGGCTACATTGAGTGTGTGTGGCCACCTGACTCCAGGGCAGGGGAGAGCAGGCAAAGCAACTAAGACAGAGAGGAGCCAGGGCAGGATGGAGGGAGAGGCAGGTAGAGAGAGACCCCAGGGTGGTGGAGGAGGGAGGACCACATGGAAGGAGGCTGGCTCATACAGCCACCAATAAGCGAGCCATTCACTCTTTCATCCTTTTTGCAAGATTCTCCACCCTGCTGCCCACTGCCTCCCTTTCCAGGCCTGGCTTCCAGCCACTCACCCAAGCACTGTTGCCGCCAGGTATCCCCTGCCTGGAGCTGTGGGCAGCATCTGCTCCATGTTGAATGATACCCTCTACCTGTCTGCCAGTGTCTCCAAGAGCCCGGGCTCCTTCCCCAAGGCCATGGGCGGCAGCACCTCCCGCCTCATGGCCAGGGACCTCAGAGATTCTGTGGCTGTTGGCTTCTCCCGACTTGCCTCCAAAGGCTTCTCCCAGCCCCTCTCCAACGGCTTCTCCCAGCCCCTCTCCAATGGCTTCTCCCACCATGTGTCCAGCGATCTCCCCAGCATCTGTTCCCTCACTCTCCCCTCTGTCCACCAATGGGCCAGCCTCCCCACTGCCCAGGCACAGGGCCAGCAGGAGGCAGGCCAGGGACCCCTGGAGCTTCATCTCTGCCTCTCTCCTCTCCTAAGTGTCTTCTTCCCACCCAGGTTGACTCGTTTGCCCCTTCTTTTCCTCTGCGTCTGCGTGCCCTCCTCCGTCTTCCCCTTCCTTCTGACTTTTTGTTCTCCTCACTCTAGGTCTGCAGTCTTCTCTCCTTTCTCAGATGCCCCCGCCTTCCCAGAGTCCTCCTCCCTGCCGCTACTCCTTATACTGGAGCTTGGGAGAAGGTGGCAGGGCTGAGCAGCCCAGAGTCCCTCCCCTCCGTGACTCAGGGCCAGCCACCCGATAGCGTAATGAGCTGTAATTGTGAGTCTGAGAGTCTGTGTTGAAACAGAGAGGGAGCCCGTGCAGCAGGGAGGGAGGGAGCAATGGGTCGAGACTGGTACAAAAGTCTTCCGATTTCCCAACCCCAGGAATTTGGGGCGCAGGGTGGGGGTGGGGGCATCTGAGGAGATGGACTGTTGGGTCTCCCAGAGGTGGATGGAGAGGACTTAAGAAAGAGGACTCAAGCAGGAGCCCACGGAGGGTGAGGAGGTGCGGGAAAGGGTAGGGAGCCCAGTGGAACAGGACCCACCCCAGGTGTAAGCCAGCCTGGGTCGGGGGCACCTGAATGAGCGGCAGGTGACCCTTCATGGCCTTCCCCTCTCAGTTTCAGGCAGCCTGTGTCTCTCCCATCTTGGCCCCCAGTGCTGCCCTCTTCAGGTGACTGACCACCTCACAGTCTCCCACACCCTCCAGCGGCAGAGAGCCTGGTTGCTGGGAGACGGCCCCGCGGTGGGGACCCCAGGCGTCAGAGAAGGAAGTGGCCACGACCCTGAGAGTGGTCATCAGGGCGTTTCAGTTAGCACTGGGGCTGCTCTTGCTGAGAAAGCTGGGTGTGGAACAGGAGAGATGGGCGGGCCAGCCACCCCCAGGGAATGAGTGGGAGGGACAGACCTAGGGAGGGTGCACCTGACCCGGTAAACCCATCCTGTTTACCAGGCCTGGAGGGGACACGAGTGTGAGCTCATGGCCTCCTGCGAGGGCTGGGACGACACCAGCTCACCCACCCCGCCCCCAGCCTCTCCCAGCAGGGACAGGGCAGCACGGCCAAGGGAGGAGGGGTCAGCAGAGGGGCAGGAGCCCCCGTCAGCCCCCTCCCCCGGGCCCAGCTCAGGATGCAGATCTTGGGCATCCTCCCCAGGTCTCATCACTGCTCAGTGAGCGTGGCTGCTTCTCCGCTCCCAGGAACCCCAGGTCCTCCCACTTGGCACTGCCTTGTATCACTGGGATTCATCACCAGGCTAGGAGGGGCCGGTTTCCACCTGCTTTTCTTAACGTCTTTCGGTCAGCCTCTCTCTCCACCCCAACACCCACACCCCAACTTGTAACACCCAACACCTCTCACGATGTAAACACAATCCCTGTCTGTTCTCCACGGCTCCTTCCTGCCTCCCTGTTATTCCACTGATGACTCTTTAATGAGGATAATAATTGTGGTGGTAACAGCAACAGCAATAATAATAATCATTGGAGCTCCAGTTTATCCACAGCTTTCTCTGTGCCCAGAGCTGGACTAAGTATTTTAAGGCCCAGACAGCCCTGGGAGAATCAGTCTTATTATTACCCCATTTGGAGACAGAGAATGTGGGGCTCAGAGAGGACACGGTGCGTGTGTGATCGAGGCAGAGCCAAGCTCAGCCTGTCCCATCCCTGAGCCCGGCTCCCAGCATCTTCTGTCATCTCAGCGTCGCAGACCTTCCTTGCTTTTCAAAGCCCTCATTCTTCTCTGGGCAGAACTGGTTTAGTTTTGCTCCAGGACCATTTGAGGGTGGAGAGCTTCTCTGCCACTAAGAGTTGTCTTTGAACCAGCTGACTTTCTTAAGTGTATTTTAAGAGAATACTTTATACCACTATTCTAAGTGGAAAGTCAGGCTCACTTGCCCGTAAATGGAAAGTACCAGAAAAACAAAGTGAGAAGAAAATAATAAAATCACATCATAGCTGACTGTAGCCCCTGTGCCTCTTTGTTAAAAAGGGAGATTGGCCAGTAGGAGAGAGGTATTCAGGGCACACCAGCCCAGGAATTGTCTCCCTCCCCACCCATGCAGAAAGCGTCTAGGAAAATTAAGAAAAGAGTTAAGTGCCTCGCAGTGTGATTCGGACTTATTCAAAGCCATGTTCACAACCACCTACATTCTTCTATGTTCTACCTCCTGGGAAAAACTGCCCTCAGACGTCTCTGGACCAGAGGGGTCACTTTAAATCAGCCTTAAGGCATGTTAATTACATACCTGTTGTGAACAGAAACAGAAGACCAGATGCTTTCACAAGCATGATCTCGTTTAATTTTCACCATCACCTCGAGATATAGACGTTATTCCCATTTTACAGGTGAGGTAACTGAGGCCTAGAGCTGTTACACACACACGAGATCATATACAAGATCATGGCAAAATGGAGCTGGCAGAATCTGACAGCTTTTTCTCCTACATCACCGTGCCTCCTCTGTTCTTGTCTATAAAATGGTCCATGAGTCTGACATGACTACGTCATGTCCAGGACCCTCTGATTTCAGCTGTTCCCTTTGATGCACTACTGCATTTATTCAGTAAATGTTTACTGAGTGAGCACTCTGTGCCACGCCTGTTCTAGGCACTGGGCATACAGCAAGGAACAAGGTTATCAGTCTCTCTCTCTCTCTCTCTCCCTAGGGAGCTCACCTTCATTGTGGGGAAGCTGGACAGTAAACAGACAGGTGCTGGTGTGTCAAGGGAGAAACATATAGTGGGGTGAGGATATAGAGAAGACAGAGGGAAACAGCATGGTCAGGAAAGGGCTCTTTCAGATGTGATATGTGAACTGAGACCCAAAGAAAGTAAGAGAGTGAGTCACGAGGCTATCTGGAGATAGAGTATTCCAAGCTAGGGGGGAACAGCAGTGCAAAGGCCCTGAGGCAGGGGGCTGCTTACTCTATTTGAGAAACACTGTGACTGGAGCAAGGGGGGATGGGAGGAGTTGAAGTCAAAGAGGGAACAAAGCCAGATTGTGAGGCCTCGGGGACCATTGCGAGCACTTTGACTCTGAATGAAGTAGAACCTGAATGAAGTGAGCTGAGGAAGGCTGTGATCTGACTCAGGTGTTAACTGGGGAACAGACCAGGGTGGGGACATGGTATGAGGACTACAGAGACCAAGTAGGAGACTTCAGGGGGAGAAAGGAGGTTGACTCAAGTATAGAGGGGAAAAGTAAAAATAAATAAATAAATAAAGTGAGGGAATCCAAAAAAAAAGAGCAGATCATATTTTGAATGCTGCACACAATATGTAGTTTTAATGTCTAATGGCCAAGATAGCTATAATTGTCATCTGCTCAATATTACACAGTACAGAGACATTTTTGAAAGGCAAAGAACTTTAAATTGCTAATTTGTTGGGGAAAATAATTAGGTTTTCAGGCTCATGTCACTATAAAAGAGAGGTAGTGTTCCATGGTTGCGTTGAGCGATAATGGCCTTCAGTTGTATGGTAACTCATGATATATTAAAACCAAGACTGTTATTTGAGCCCCTTACTTTTCTTTTTTTAAATATTCTGATGATTTTATTAACAAGTATTTAATACATGTATTGCGTACCGTATATAGTACGAGGACTGTACAGTACAAATTTATGTTCATAGTTTGACATGACAAAATGTCATTACTGAATTCCCATTGGACTACAGGAGCCCCTTACTTTTCAATTTTTATAACCTGATAATAAAATGAAATATCAACTTCCACAATAAAATTTCTAAAAGGCAAAAGAAAAAGAGTATAGAGGGGAGATGAGATCTTGGGTGTGGGTGATGTCTTTGCTCCCTTCTCTGGAGTCCTGGGCCTCAGGCTGACATCTGCTGGCTCACTGTGTTCGCAGGGCCTGACCTGGAGCCTCAGACTGACCTGGAGTTCAAATCCCGGCTCGACCAGTTACTTAAGATCACCACCACGTCGTCTTAACACATCTGTGCAACAGGTTCCTTGTTTGTAAGAGGGGTGAATACGAGGATTGCATGAGGTAACACGTGCAAAGAGCTTAGAACAGTGCCTGGCACTTGGGAGCACTCAATCAATATGTGTTCTTGTAAGACTGTTGGAATACTTCCCTGACACTTGTTTAATTTTGAGACTCAGACACGGCTGCACAGGCACCTTGTGAAAGGCGCAAAGGCAGAAACTTACTTTTCAAGAGGACTTAGTTGAAGTAGCCCCTCACCCTCCCTAGGGTCCCCAGGGAGCATGTCACCTCTCAAGCAGAGACCCCCAGCAGGGAAGCGCTCGGACCAGGAGCCAGCCTTTACTATCTGCTAGCTGGGTGGCCTCCGTCGACTCTCTCCCTTCTCTGAACCTCAGCTTCATCATCTCTAAGAGGGGTAATCATGATGCCTGCGTCAGGGGAGGTTGGGAGGGTGGATGAATCACGTCTTCACCTAACTGCTTAGCAGAGTCCGCGCCCAGTAAAAGATGGCTGTGAGAGTCCCACCCATCTCCCTGTCCCTCTGCATCCTTAGAACTGGCCTCCTCTCTTTCCTGCTCCCTGGCCTGGCTCGGCCTGGCTGTCTCAGGTGCCTAGTTCTTGCTCACTCTTGTCCCAAGGCCTTTCCCAAGTCTGCTCAAGCCAGTAGCCTCTGCTCTACGAGTTGCCAGAAACTTTGTGCCCAGCCTCAACCCCTCCTCTAGAACCTCTTAGTCTAGGGAGAAATGGAAATGGAATCGGTAAATACATAATTACGGTTTGTCACAACACTGGAAAGACCAGGATGCATGCCATGAGAAACAAGTGTGGCCCTTCATGCAGGTTGGGTGAGACCGGAAAGGGAAAGAGAGGCTGGGAGCATGTTCCCGCAGAGGGACCAGCACCCCAGGCCTCAGGGCAGGAGTGAGCCACCTGTGTTTTACCCTTCAGATCCGGCTAAGCTCTTCTTTTCCAGAAGCCTCCCAGGATTGACCCTCAGCTCACACAGATTGTCCCATATCTCTCTGGAACTTTTGAGAACCCAGCCAAGCAAACCCAGCAAGAAAATGGGCATACAAATGAACTCAATGAAAGCTTTTACTTTGTGAAAGAATGAATCCCTTCTCAAAAGGGATTCCTCTAGTCCAGGTGAAATGATGCCCAGAGAAGACTATCAGTACATGTGTGGTTCGCATGAATGCTTCCATTCATTGAAATACAGGAAACAAACAGCTGCAATTTACTTTGAATTGCATGGAAAATGTATTGGCACGTGGCTAGATGGCTAGGTGGGTGATGGGTGGCTGTGAGATAAAGCAAGCAGAGTCAGATATTAGTGGTAGAATGTAAGTGGTGGGTAGGCAGGTAGTCACTGGAAAATTCTTTCATCTTTGCAATAAAATGTTGCAGGAGGAGAGAAGGAACATAGGTGATTAAAATGGTGGTATTCTACAAATAAGGCAAAACGCAGTGAATACAAAGTGTCAAGAACATCGCCTTTACAGGGCGCATCAGGCCCCTCCCCTCCCTGGTGTGTCCTTTACTGACGCTCCTTTGTGGTTGTTTTCATATTCTGTTTGTATGCCCTGTCGCCCCAGGAAGCCTGTAAATTCCCCAAGGGCAAGAACACTGTCTCTTATTTCTGATCTCACGATTGATGGAATTTGGGAGCTGGAAGCCATGTTTGTAGTCCTCTCCTGCAGACACCCGCCCCCTTTACACGGGAGGAAAGTGTGGCCCCAAGAAGGGAAGGGTGCTGCCTGCAGGCACCCGGTCCTGTTGGAATGGAGGTCTCCCAGCACTCAGGCCCGTGCCTGGCAAGTGCTCTGGAGACTTCATAGGCAACTTGTGAAAGGTCAGGTTCTGGCAATAGACAGGCCTGCTGCTTTCTCATGGGTTACCCCGGGCAAGTGCCCTGGCTCCTCTGAGCCCTAGTTTCCTCATCTATACAATGGGGATCATAAGAGAACTTCTGCTTTTGGGCTGTGAGAGGCTTAAATGCTTACAGAGAATGAACAGGCCTTCACACGGTACCTGGAACCTACTAAGCAGCTGCTGTCATTCTTCCGGGCTTTGAGCTGCCCATAGGTCAGAAAACTGGGCGCACGTACCTCTTTCCTCTCTCTTTCTTCACTGACTCCCCTCGCTACTGAAATGAAGCAGGAAAAGACTTCTGGGTTTTCAGAACAGCCTTGGTAGCTCTGGGCTGTTTCTCCCTCCATTTACCATGTGATCTCGGTCACATTTCTTAACTTGCATGAGCCTCCGTGTGCTTCTCTATAAAATGGGGCAATAGCAGGACCTCTTACCTAACTGGATGGTTGGGAGGATTCGGTGATGTCATGCATGTAAAGCACAGGGAGCCTCGCACGCCTTAATTGCACAATACACACAAGCTACTATTGTTATTCCTTTGGTGCCACACCCCTGGATGAGGATGCTACCCCCGTGGGCTTCACCAGGGTCCCTGCCCTCTTCTCTGATGCTTTGGCCCCCATACTGGCTGGGGCAGCTTTCCCTGCACAGATGTCCCTCCCAAAGCCGAGCATGAACTTCGTACTAATGAGGCATGGCTTGTCCCCATAACCGCCCTCGGAGATCTGATCAGCCTGAAATCTACAGTTCAACCCATCCTGTGCATCAGATCCCACGACCCACAGCTCCTTCAGCAAAGTAGCAAGAGAAGAAAAGACAAGCCTTCCTCCAACCCCTTCTTAGGAAGCACCGTGGACCATGATGAGAGTACCGGGGGTTATATTTATTCACAGATCTAAGTACAGCCCCGTTCAGGGACTCCAGAAATCTTTCCCCGCCCCCCACCCCGCCCAGCTCCTTCAGGTCACTTCAGATGATGTGACAACAGGAATGTCAGTCTGTTCAACATGGCCAGTTCATCAGTTTAGGGAATGATGTTGGTGATGCTCTGGAAGAGAGAAGGAGAGAGGGAGGGAATGCAGGGCACATAGCCACGAGCCCTCTGCCCTCACACCCTGTAGAGAATGACAGGGAGGTTGGCCACTCTGGCTTTGGGGTCACCTATTTTCTGGGGACTATCTTAAGCAAGGTGGTACCTGTATGCAGGAAGAACAGGGAGCCAGCCCTCCCAGGTGGAGGTGCCGGGGGCCTCTGCAGGAACTGAGAAGCCTTGTCTGCTCTGCCTGAGAGGCTCTCCTGCCACCTCTATAGCCCAGGAATAAACAAGGATGTGCCCTTGGGTTCCAGGCACTGTCCTTAGGGTTGTTACGCAGCCTCACCCTTCTGCCCCAGTCTCAGGCAGCTGAATATACTGCATGCAAAGAAAAGAACTAGGACTTAATTTTGGGCCTAGAGAGGGGACAGGGATCTTACAGGAGCCTTTATCCTGGAGAGGGGTTGGAGGGCCAACCAGGGGGAGGACGGAGATGCAGTTTCCCGCCACCTAGCACTCTGCCGCCAGGTAGCAGGGCCAGGGCAGCAGAGGGTCCACAGGTAGGGAGGGAGTCTGGCAGGGAGATATCAAGGGGAGATGCTGGGCACAGGGAGGGGAGGGTTTCAGCAGCCCCTCCCTCCCTGGCTCCTAGATGCACACGGGCCCCTGGAGATTTTTTCTGCCTCGGGGAGGGAGGGGACGGAAAGAGCCCATAAGGTGACAGCAGGATGTGCAGGGCCCAGAACAGTGAGGCAGGAAGGCCAGAGCTGGGAAATGCGTTGGATGGTCTCCGCAGAGGCTGAGAGTCTGTCTACAGTGCAGTTGTCTGGCAACAGGAGACGGGAAGGGGACATGAGAGCATCTCCCAAGCAGGAAGTAGCAACGTGGACACTCACCTTCCACAGAGTTGGAAAGTCGATGAAGGGCTTGTTGACCGAAGCCTGAAATTCAAGGACAAGAGGGTCAGTCCCAGCGTCTGTCCCACCACCATCGGAGGAGAGCCTCCCCTCCTCCCACCTCCAAGTCCGCGCTGTGCTCGGGAGACTTACTCCAGATGTTAAGGTCGTGGTTGCGACCCCTCCGTGCTGGCCTGTGGATCCGCCTGGATGACCGCCCTGTGGACGAAGCCTGGATTCATTACAACCCCTCAGCCCTTGAGGGTCTCCCAAGTCCCTTTTCCCTGGGGGCCGGCTGGGGCTGGGGCGGGAGGCATAGGCTACCAGAAAGGTCCAGAAAGAAAACTCAGAGCCCATGTAGCTGTGGGAACTCTGTGAGAGGTGGGAGGAGAAGCCAGGAAGGATGCCTGCCCCTGCTGACTCGTCTTCCCTTGATTCCCTTTGATTTTAGTTATGAGATGTTCTTAGTTGCTGAGAAGGGGCCTGCCTGGAGAGGGAGCCCAGAGGAGCCACATGAATACCTGGACAGGGTTTCACCTCAGCCCTGACCTCAGAGCTACCCCTTCTACACACACTCTAGCCTGATCCCTAACTCGGGTTGATCCTCTCCTTAATCCTGTCCCCAGGCACTGAGCAAGGCCTCCCCCACCGCACTGCTGCTGCCGGCCTCGGATCCCCAAACAAACCTCCCTCTCTGGTCTCTGTTCGGTGAGATCTCCCATCTGACTCAGAGCTCCCTCCCTTACTCTGCACACTTTCTCCATAATTCTTTCCTCCCCACCCACCCATCCCTGGCTCCCTGGCTGGCAGCCCATGTGGCTATGGGCTTGAGACCTGGAGAGATGGTGTCCCAGAGACTCCTCATGGAGAGTGGAGGATGGGGAACTGAGGCCAGCAGGAGTCAGCCTCTCCTGGCCTCCGGGATCTGTTCCCTCTACCTAAGTGGGGATCAGGAATCCTCCAGAAGGCCTCCTCTGATGGGGCAGCATAGAGGAAGAAAAAGAACCCTGACTTGGAATTGGCCAAAGCTGAGTGCTCACCCCGTGACCTTGGCAAACCCTTAAACCCCACTGAGCTTCTGTTTCCTTATCTGAGAATCAAAGAGTCAGCAGCCTCACCCTGGCTACCTCAGAGGCTTCTCAGGAAAATTAAACAGAATAGGGCTTATCTCCAAAAGCTATTCCTCAAGCTTCCTCTGATGCTCTGGGTTTTCTCAACACTCATTCTCTCTGCAGTGTAATAGATCCTGGCCTCGGCAACTTCTTTCTGTTCCCAGGAGAGGCTGCGTGTTCCTCCCCTTAGATGTCATTAATGAGGAAGACAGCTCCCTGAAGCGGGGCTGGGGCCCGTCCACACTCTCTGACAGGGCTTTGCGAAGAAGATGGCTTAGTCTGTCTGACCAGCTAACCACCAGCTCCGTTTTAAGGGACATGGAGACTGAGAAGGAGGACACAGTTCCATAGCTGCCCAAGCTTCTGTCACCAAATGATGACTACCTAGGCTCCCCAAATGTCCCAAGGGTTTAACCTCTCCCTCCCCCAACACCCTTATCCCCATTATCCCACCCTTGTTCACCTACATTCAGCGGCTGTTTGGTCTCCTTGCCGGCTTGGTTGACCCCATTATGAACATTCTGCTGCAACCTGTCCTCCTCCTTCCCGGCCTGGCCAGCAGCTTGGTGGACACCTTGGCCAAGTTTCTCCGCTTCCTTTCCAGCCTGGCCAGCAGCGTGGTTGACCCCTTGGCCAAACTTCTCTGCCTCCTTTCCGGCCTGGTTGACCCACTCCTTCCCAGCCTGGTTGACCCCAGGATGAACACTTTGGACTATTTTGTCTCCCTCTTTCCCAGCCTGCCCAGCGGCATGA